AAAATCTTTAAAAAACAAAAAATAGAAATAGAAAATATAAATAGAAAATGTAGAACGAGGTAGCAAGGCCAATATCAACAGGATTTGTTTTAAGGGACCGATGAAATAAAAATAAGCCTAAAATTATCCTATCTCTGGCATTCATTTTTATTAAATAAGAATTGGAGACTTTAATTTTTTTTTTAACTGTCGAAGGATAAACATCCCATCTCATTTTGAAGCGGTTGTAACATTTCAAGGCGAACTTAAATTAAAAATTCCCCTCAAATTTTTTAAATTTTAATCAAAATTATTATATTGGTTGTTGGAGAGCTATGTAAAAGATGCAATTTTTATACTATTTATTTAAACTATTACAAACCAAATACTCTTGGCAAATTAGTTAACGGGGGGTTTTTATATATTGCTTTCTCTTATAAGAGTTGTCTATTGTGGATACCTTCCAAAAAACCCCCCGTTAACTAATTTGCCAAGAGTATTTGGTTTTTATTTACCTTTTGGATACCTATAAAAAAAATTCCCTTTAATTTCATGTATCTTAACCAAAATTGTCTTATTGGTTTTTGGAGAGCGATGTATTTTTGTATGATGTAATTATTTGTTCTATTTTTTTTAAGAAATCAAGTTTATTTTCTAGACTTACATGCTAATCGATATAGAATTTAATTACATGCTTAACCCAGTATGACATTCTATACTTAAATAATATGTTTTAGGCAAAGTATTAATGTTGTGAAGAAAATTAGTGTTAGAATTTGTGTCGAAAAATGAATTTGCTTGTTTCTTTTCTGTGCAAATTTACGCAAGCAATAAGAATTTTTTGGCAATTTTTTTTAGTTTAAGTAGTTGACATAGGACAATATACTGTTGTTTTTGTGGAAATTAAAGAAAACAAGAAAGGAAGCTACCTTCGGCCAGCCGAAGCTTATATACCCTTGTAGATAAAGTAATGCTCACTCGGTGCAGTTCCAGGGATTCCAGATTCCGCGTTTCTATTTTAATTTTGTTTATACATAAGTAGTCAAGAATCAAAACGCCTACTTCCTACAAAGTTACAATGAATTTTCTTATATTTGTTTGAATATTGCTATGGGAGCCTTAAGATATAGTGGTCCGATCCGGCTAGCTCCGACATATGTACTACCTGCAATAGAAAGAAGACTTTCGGGAAAGTTTCATCGCGATAGCTTTAAAACTGAGAGACTAGTTAGCATAGAAACGGACAGACGGAAAGACGGACATGGCTAGATAGACTCGGCTTTTGGTGCTGATCCAGAATATATATACTTTGTGTGGTCGGAAACGTCTCCTTCACTGCGTTGCAAACATCTGACTGAAATTATAATACCCTCTACAAGGGTATAAAAATTATGATAAAACGTTTTCTCGGATTATAGGCTAAAAATAAGGAATTTTTTAAATTAAAAATAATTAGCAAATATAAAGGTATGCTTAATTTTCAATTTTAATTTCCACACGCGAAGCTGCGGGCTCCCGACCTTGCTAGTTTTTATTATAAAAATTGATTTATATTAATTAAAATAAAAATTAATTTATAATTTATAAAAAATAAAAAAAAGGTTTATCCCGTTTTCTTATTTGCTGAACCAAACTAAGTAAGTGGTATTTTTCACATAATTTTCATACGCTGTTTTGGCTTTCAAATTTTTTCAACTCATAACATTTATTTGCAGTCCCTGCTATGAATAAATCATAGGGCAGACTTTAAAGCTGGCAATACTGGATTTTAGAGACAGTTTTAAGTCGCATGCTTTAGAGTAAGCTCTGCCTGTATCCTTATGATTCTCGCTACTTAATGGGGGAGATACATATAAAACTGTAATTTTTTAATGTTTTTCGTGATTTTTTTTAATCAATAAGGAATTGTTCTGGGATTTCGTAACTTGGCATTTTGATTACGTTGTTATACCCTTGCAGAGGGTATTATAATTTCAGTCAGATGTTTGCAACGCAGTGAAGGTGACGTTTCCGACCACATAAAGTATATATATTCTTGATCAGCTCCAATAGCCGAGTCTATCTAGCCATGTCCGTCTGTCCGTCTGTCCATCTGTCCGCCTGTCCGACTGTCCGTCTGTCCGTTTCTATACGAACTAGTCTCTCAGTGTTAAAGCTATCGCGATGAAACTTTCCCGAAAGTCTTCTTTCTATTGCTGGTAACTTTGTAGGTAGTAGGCGTTTTGATTCTTAACAACTTAAAAACAAAATTTAAATAATAGGCACGCTAAATCTGGAATTCCTGGAACTGCACAGAGTGAGCATTAAACTATAGGTTTTTGCTTTATCTGCAAGGGTATATAAGCTTCGGCTGGCCAAAGCTAGCTTCCTTTCTTGTTCTTATATAATTTTAACCAATTTTTATTTTGCTTTTATCTTTCAAAATGGCGGCCGTGGGAATTTTTTTATCAGGCTATATTAAAAAAAAAGTAGGCCAGCTGCGGATCGTCTACAGGTCGCTGTGTAGATCCGATTTTTATAAAACTAAGTTTATTTTGTTAAGAAATAATGTAGAAACGGTCTGAACCTAACTTACATAGAATATCTCAAAAACTATGGTTGTGGCACTCTTTCAAAGTTAAAAATCTATTTTTTTTCATTTTTTCTATGCGAGCTAGGGTCGCAGTTTTAAAGCTATCGCGATGAAACTTTCCCGAAAGTGTTCTTTCTATTGCAGGTAGTACATATGTCGGAGCGAGCCTGATCCGACCACTATATCTTAAGGGTCCCATATAAATATTCAAACAAATATAAGAAAACTCATTGTAACTTTGTAGGAAGTAGGCGTTTTGATTTTTGACAACTTAAAAACAAAATTTAAAAAATAGGCAAGCTGAATCTGGAATCCCTGAAACTGCACCGGGTGAGCATTAAACTATAGGTAATTACTTCATCTGCAAGGGTATATAAGCTTCGGCTGGCCGAAGCTAGCTTCCTATCTTGTTTTTCTATATGTATCTTCCTCATTAAGGATTCTTAAAAATGTGTTGTTTACCCAGAGGTTTTAAAGTTATCATATTACAGTGGTGGTGTGGAAATGAGAAAGTCCTGACAACCGTACTCCAAAATAATTTTAAGCGAAGTCGTACTATATAAGAAAGAAAACGTCTTTTTCTCTGCGTTGTTAAATTCCGATTGAAATCATCAAACCATTTTCAAACATATAACAAGGAAATCGTAAATATAACAAGAGAGAACGCTATAGTCCCACTATTACATACCCGTTACTCAGCTAAAGGGAGTTCGAGGGAGATAAGAACTTTGATCCGCCGTAACTTTTTAACGAAGGGTCAGATTTAAAAAATTGCTTCTACATTTCGATAGGTATTGATAAACACAATAAAACTGCATTTTTACTTTTCCGAAATATTGAAGTTTTTAAAATCGTATTATATATAACCGATTGTGGGCGTTAGAGGGGGCGTGGCACCCTTTTGAAAGAAACTTGCGCTGCGTAGGAACTCCTAAAATCTGCATGCCAAATGTCAATCTTCTAGCTCTTATAGTTTCCGAGACAGACAGACAGACAGACAGACAGACAGACAGACAGACAGACAGACAGACAGACAGACAGACAGACAGACAGACAGACAGACAGACAGACAGACAGACAGACAGACAGACAGACAGACAGACAGACAGACAGACAGACAGACAGACAGACAGACAGACAGACAGACAGACAGACAGACAGACAGACAGACAGACAGACAGACAGACAGACAGACAGACAGACAGACAGACAGACAGACAGACAGACAGACAGACAGACAGACAGACAGACAGACAGACAGACAGACAGACAGACAGACAGACAGACAGACAGACAGACAGACAGACAGACAGACAGACAGACAGACAGACAGACAGACAGACAGACAGACAGACAGACAGACAGACAGACAGACAGACAGACAGACAGACAGACAGACAGACAGACAGACAGACAGACAGACAGACAGACAGACAGACAGACAGACAGACAGACAGACAGACAGACAGACAGACAGACAGACAGACAGACAGACAGACAGACAGACAGACAGACAGACAGACAGACAGACAGACAGACAGACAGACAGACAGACAGACAGACAGACAGACAGACAGACAGACAGACAGACAGACAGACAGACAGACAGACAGACAGACAGACAGACAGACAGACAGACAGACAGACAGACAGACAGACAGACAGACAGACAGACAGACAGACAGACAGACAGACAGACAGACAGACAGACAGACAGACAGACAGACAGACAGACAGACAGACAGACAGACAGACAGACAGACAGACAGACAGACAGACAGACAGACAGACAGACAGACAGACAGACAGACAGACAGACAGACAGACAGACAGACAGACAGACAGACAGACAGACAGACAGACAGACAGACAGACAGACAGACAGACAGACAGACAGACAGACAGACAGACAGACAGACAGACAGACAGACAGACAGACAGACAGACAGACAGACAGACAGACAGACAGACAGACAGACAGACAGACAGACAGACAGACAGACAGACAGACAGACAGACAGACAGACAGACAGACAGACAGACAGACAGACAGACAGACAGACAGACAGACAGACAGACAGACAGACAGACAGACAGACAGACAGACAGACAGACAGACAGACAGACAGACAGACAGACAGACAGACAGACAGACAGACAGACAGACAGACAGACAGACAGACAGACAGACAGACAGACAGACAGACAGACAGACAGACAGACAGACAGACAGACAGACAGACAGACAGACAGACAGACAGACAGACAGACAGACAGACAGACAGACAGACAGACAGACAGACAGACAGACAGACAGACAGACAGACAGACAGACAGACAGACAGACAGACAGACTTCACGAATACTCTACGAGTAACGGGTATAAAAATGCCTATAAGTCCAATATTTTCAAATTATACCATTATTTTAAAATTTAAAAACAACTTACCACTAAAACAACTGATGGCAAATTATTGTTCCAAATGTTTATTGTAGGCATGGTGTGTGATTCTAGCATCTTGACTTGATTCGATATTTGAAGCTTTGATATTACAAAACCAAATGCATACGTAGACATCGGTGGAGTGTTATAAAAATAGTCCAACCAGTAACCATTCAACGTGGGGCTAAAAAAATAATTTTATAACTTTTTAAAATAATAATAATTTTGTAAGCTTTTAACGTTAATTTAGCGTTTATGGAGACAAACATACAGTTTGTCAAAAAACACTAGTTTACAAAATATATTCTTGGAGTGCTTCACAGGGTAATACTATATATAAGCGGACTCACCCCCGAAATTCGAGAAAAAATTATCCTCGATGGACCGCGATTTCTTAGGAATTTAAGTGCAGAAGATTATCGGCGGAAATGCATGGTTCTCTTGTAATTGCATTTCAAAGTTGCGTGTTTATACAGCAAAACCGGGAACTTTAAATTTCAATTCCAAGAGAACCATGGTCGACCGCCAAGTTCTTTTTGCACGTAAATTCTTAAGAAATCGCGGTCCATCGAGGATAATTTTTTCGCGAATTTTGGGGGTGAGTCCGCTAATATATAGTATTACCCTCCAGCAATTGATTTAAAATTCTGTTAGTGCCCTAGATCACGAAAATACCAAAACAATTTTCTTTCGATGGCACAGGTTTTTTTTAATTAAAATTTGTAAAATTCCGGACTTTTTTTGAAGTGTTTTCTGTATCCCGGCTCATATCCATCCAATTGGGTTAGTTTTTGTTTCATTTTAAAGTCAATAGATCAAAGCCTAACTTTGCCATACACTAATCAACCCTCAAGAAATAATTGACTGGAAACAGTATTTTTTTTTTGGGCCAGTTTTTGTTAGGTTGAGTACTAAATTAATTGACATCTGAATATTTGAAATTTTGTTGTTTTTTTGTTTTTTAGGGTGTTAAGGGTGAAATTTGAAATTGTTTTGATGCAATCGGAAGGATCATAGTTAAATAAACAATATTGCCAATCTTTGTATTATTATTTATTAATTTATGACTTATAATTGTAACGAACCGCTACTCTCATAACCATAATTTAGGCTAGTTGGTGTCCCGAGCCATCGGCGCACGCGAAAGATATTCTCCGGCTCTGGCTCTCGGCTATGGGTGTGATGATCTTGCCGATGACTCGTATTGCCTTTTGCTAATAATATTTCGATACTCGCGTGCGTCACCGAACTTAAAACCGGGTCGAGAAAAACACACACAATACAATACTACGTTCCCTGACAATTTCCCTTTCGCCTGACTTCACCCTTCGCCTCCCTGGATGACGTGGAGGTATCGGTTTGCCCACCCTACCTTTGGTCGCTCATTCCCTTCGTCGCTTGACAGCCTGAGCGACCCCATTAACCAAGTGCTAACCTATATTGCAGACAACGCTAGCTGCGGCCACTTTTCAAATTAGTTAAACATTATAAAATTTATTTATTTAAAAAATAAGGTAAAAAATCTAGTACTTTCTTTAGCATTTTTAATTTAAAAAAGAAATTCTGTGTAATTTTTCCTTTTGCAAACAATTACTTGCCAAACTGTACAAGGTTGGATCGTCTTGACTTTATATGGTACAAAAGGATTCCTTTTACCTGTAAACGGTGAATTATAGAGGGTTTTCTATAATTTTAACTCATTTAAATCTGAGTATGAGAGTTAGGGTGGCTCGATTTGGGACCCCAAAAATCGTATAGGGGGAACGTAATCCTTAAAGGATTCTAAGCCATATTGGCGAACATACTTATGGTCTAAAATGACGTTTGACCCCCCCCAAACACGAATGAAAAATACTACTTTTTTGAGAAAAATATCATAGTAGTCAGCACAGATGTCTTACTGAATATCAATTTCAAATTTTTATTTCAAATTTTGTAAATTACAAAATAACCAAAACTCTTCTACAATGTAACAGGACAGACATTTCCACCGTAATTAATGCCCTCACGGGCGACTGTCTTTTAGGGACACACGCGCGCAGGCTAGGACTAAGCAGCTACGACTACTGTCGCAGCTGTAAACAGATAGAAGAAGAGGAGAACATTGAACATCTTCTATGCTTCTGCCCAGCACACAACCTCAAACGTTTTCAAACCCTAGGAAGATACACGCTTCCGAACCTTGCCGCCATACAAGGCACAAGCATGCCAAAACTCCATTGTTTTCTGAAAAGAACCAACTGGTTCGAGAAACCCAATAACCCATGAGCTAGGGAAATGGATCTATTCTGAGATCATATGGTATCACAAGGGGCCCAAGGAGGCCTAAGTGAGGGGATTATTTTATAATCCCCAACCATGCTCACCTATTGCTTGCGTAAGTTATCAGCTGCACAGAACAGAAAAAAGAAATTCATTTTACATTAGTACTTTGTCCAAAACATATTGTTTAAATATAGAATTTCATACTGGGTTAAGCGTGTAATTAAATTCCAAATCGATTAGCGTGAAAACCTACAAAATAAACTTGTTTTCTTAAAAAACAAGTAGAACAAAAAATTGCTAAAAGATAGATCTCTCTCGAAAAGATAGCTCTCGAACAACCAATAAGATAATTTTGGTTAAGATTTATGAAATTAGAGGGTATATTATTTATAGGTAACGAAAAGGTAAATAAAAAGCAAATACTCTTGGCGAATTAGTTAACGGGGGTTTTTGGAAGGTATCCACATTAGACATTCTTTAGAAGGGAAACCAATATTTATGCAAAGCAACGCTTCATGTATTTTACTAATTTAAAAAACAGCATTAAGAAAAGCAATTCCATATTACTGCATTTTACCATTGATATTTTGCTTCAGTATTTTTGTTTCCATTAATTTTTCACCTTGATTAGAATTATATTAATAATAGAAGAAAAGGAAAGCAGGTGAAAGGGGATACCGTGAATCAAATTGCTTAAACATGTCCATTTGTTTAAACAATATGAGGCACGTGTAAGAAAGGGTAAGAGAATCAATTGATTTGAATATTTAGTTTTTCTTTAACACTTTTAATGCCATTTGCATTTTAAAACACAAAAATCTAGATATACCGAAAGATAAAGGGTGTGTCTTTTAAAAAACTTTAACATGAGAGCTCGGAAAAGTTGGCCAATTTCAGCATTTTTCGAGCATTGAGGTCCTTTTGCTAATCCTTGCGTCGGGTAAATTAAAAAAGCACCAAAAATGCTGCACAGTGTAATTTGTCAATATCTCAATATCAATTTGTCAATATCTCAGTTTTTTATATAAAAACGAGGACGGAAGCTAGATTTCACGAATGAAAACTTGACTAAAATAGCAACATGAATTAATTTTGATCCTATGGGAGCTATATAATATAGACGTCCGATCGGCACGCACTTTTACCCTGATCAAGGTACGCACAAATAAATATGATTTGGAAAGATTCATGGGAATAGCTTATATTTTGCGCGAAATATCCTGAAAATTTTGACCGATTTCACCCTATTGTTCCTATGGGAGCTATAAGATAAAGACGTCTGATCGGCACGCGCTTTTACCCTGATCAAGGTATGCGTAAAAGAATAAGATTCATGTCAAAAGCTCTTACACTGAGCGAAATATCTTCATTTTGTGAAAGCTATACCCGATTGTTCCTATGGGAGCTATAGGATATAGACGTCCGATCGGGTCGGTTTTCAAACTTGATCTGCGTACACATGTTTAGGACGACTGTGAAAGTTTTAAATCGCTAGCTTTTAAACTGAGCTCGCAAACGGTATTGAAAAAGACGGACAGACGGACATGGCTATATCGACTCCCCTATCCATCCTGTCAAGAATATATATACTTTATGGGGTCGGAAACGTCTCCTTCACTGCGTTACAAACTTCTGACCAAAATTATAATACCCTCTGCAAGGGTACAATAAAAGCAATTTTAAGGAATATTTCGACTGTAAAATTCAGCCTAATGGGATTTCTGTAAAGTCTACCAATATTTTAAAAATACAGAAAAATACAGATTTTTTTGAGAAAAATATCATAGTAGTCAGCTCAGATGTATAACTGAATATCAATTTCAAATATTTATATCAAATTCAGTAATACATCTGAGCTGACTACTATGATATTTTCCTCAAAAAAAGCTGTATTTTTCATTCGCGTTTGGCGGGGTCGAACGTCATTTTAGACCATAAGTATGTTCGCCAGTAAGGCTTAGAATCATTCAAAGATTACGTTCCCTTTATACGATGCATCACTTTTTTCGGCCCCATACAAATCGACCCGCTCTAATGAGGGTGCTTTCTTTTGCTCTTGCAAACGATTGCTCTTGAATGACGATTCAAAAAGTCTTTTGCGCATGTGTGTCCATATTTAAATTTTACAAGGTAGTCCCGTGGGTAGTAAACTGTTACCTGCACTGATAGTACGTGCGAGTGAAAGGGAGATATCGCCCAAGAACGTCAACAGACTGAAACCCAAACCATCAGGCAGCCGACGGGACTACCTCGTATAATTGTATTCGGGAAAAAGACCGTTTGCGATGACTTTTTCGGTCAATCGATCTTTTACTAAGTCTCCCTGTGCGAGCGACATTTGCATCGCTCATTGAACAAACAGAGCGTCTCACGAACAGCTCAACGTAAAGGGCTCAACAGAAAACCAAAACGAAAGAAAACGAATTCTGCTGCGCAGAGAGAGAGAGAACGAAGGGGTTTTCGTTGTTCTCGGGAATAGAGCTTAAGAAAAAAAAGGTCAACAGTTATTAGCATACTTTGGTATAAACTGATCGAACAACCGAAAACTCAAGACCAAGACGACTTTTCTCTTTCAAAGATGATATGCTACTACTTTTATTACTGAACGCTCGTTAGGCCGAGCAGATTAAGAGGGCTTACAGCTGTGTACATGTGTAGGTTCCCTTGGCGGTGCGCAGCTGAACGACACGGACTATGTTGTCGCGCCCATATACTACCCATTCTGCATTGCTGAGGGGTACATTGGGCGCGTTCAGCAACACAACATGATACCTGATTACTGATGGATTTCTCGCGATAGTTCTGCTGAACGCACATGATTACTAATCATGACGCGAGAATTTTGCATCAGTGATCAGGTATCAGGTAGCGTAAAAATAGTACGCTACCTTTTCTTGATACATGATACATGGCTTCTGG